ACATTTCGGTCCAAACTGGGCTTTTGTGTGTAGTTTTGAGTAGTAATATACAAATAAACGATGTGTACATGTCATCTTTAACGATTGTAACACTGCACACTATTTCCTATTAGCGTACATTTCAGACTCCTTTTTTTGATAAGCAAACGGATTTTGAAAAGGATGTCATATCATAATAACTACAGTTCAGGATATGATTCGCCTACGTACGGTCGTTAGACGTTCAGTACACATATCATAAAACGGTAAGCGTTTAGCTAGCTATACGATAGGTTTGGAATCGGCAGCCGTTCAACAACCAGATGATACTATCGTTAACAGTCTGCTCTCTTGAAGTGATTTAGAAGAATATCCCTATCCCTCATAGCGACTGACTCGGCTGAGGTAATATTTAACCCAACATGGATGGGTAGCTAAGTAAATTCCTCGTGTCTTGCCTCCATCAGCCTAAACACGCTAGTTGTTATGGCCAGCTATCCAGAAGCGGGCAGCCCAGTTGCTGGGATTCCAGCAATTAAGGGATTTTCGCCCTCGCTGCTGTTACTGTCTGAAGAATGTTCACTCATACGAACGAGTTCCAGCAAGTTACTATAACGTTTTAAATAAATAGTATATATCATGAGCGTGGTAATAAACTTAAATTCGTCCAGACTCTAAGCTGGCGGCGGCTTTTATAGCGTTTGATGTTCTGAATAGTTTCATCGTTTTGCTACTACGATTGACTTTACGGAAATTGTATTATAGCGCATAGTAACAATTACTTGGTATTAGTAACAATTATTAAGGTGGCGCAAGATGGCTCTAGTTCTGGGCCTATTCTGATTTGAGATAAGCGATTACCAGGAGCCAGTAATGACAAAAAAAAAAACACAAACTACGGCCGACCAGTCTCCTTTTATCCTTTCCATCGATGGGAGCCACGTGACACGCACGTATGATAAAATATATCGTCTAACTTAGTCAGTCGCTATGCTCTCGTCGTTGATTGATAAATATCGATGATTGATCTCAACGTATATTATTGTTGGGTTTCTCGTATTATGGTTACGGACCGTATCGTATTTTGTTACGCTATCGCACCTATGCCATATTTAAATATCTTCTCAGGGTTGAAATGACATCCGGGTAATAGTACAATAGACTAGTTTCAGCTAAAGCCAAACGTTACTGATAGTCACAGTCGGTTTGAAACGAGTTTCACAATCAGAGCCCATACGCAACGACGAAATCTGCTCGCGGAACCTTCTGCTGATACGTACACTATGACTATTTGTCTGTGAAGGATTGTTCGAAGAACAAGAGGATCGTCGTGTTTACGTTCACTGCTTGGGCTTTGCTAGCCGCGTTATGAGTGGGAGTTCGACAACCGGTTACAGACTGACCAGTTTGTCGCTTTTTGGTAATGTCGTCAATTTCACTTGGATATTCCCACTCATTTACTCATCCCCGCCGTAATGTACTTTTCGTCGTTAAGCGACGCGTCTCGCCAGCCGTACAGCGCGCAGAAGTTAGGCCCATCGTCAAAATTAATCGCTACACGTCAGGGTTTCTATCTAATTTCCGGCTTGTCGAGTAATTGTCACTTGTATAAGAGTCGTTCATAGTGGTAAATAGACAAAATGTTACCAAACGTAAAATAAAGCCCGCTGGTAAAAACCGACGTAGTTATTATATAGCGGTAAATACCTACCACCTATTACGAGCATCGTGGCTGTAGCGCTAGTAGCAATAGTAAACAATGGTGCCCATATTGAGAACGTATATCTATGAGTGTGATAAGAGCACAAATAACTTTCGATGAATCGATAGATCTCCCAGTATCCAATACGTATGACATTACGCAACTGGCAAAATCATAATAGTTAATGTGAAACGTAACAGGTATTGGTGGAAACATTTTTCGTGGCTGTCCAAATAGTGAATGGATAGAAGAATACAGGTTTAAGTGAAGGCCTTTTTTTTTCGAGAACATATTGTTAGTAGGCGGGCGGGCGATCGACCACGAGCACGAAATGCCATTACAAGGTTTTGAGTTTCGTAAACGAAATCTACACTAGCTTCGATTGATGATCTTATATAGCAATTGCAGCTTTGAAGCGGTACGTATTTACGTAAACGAGAAGTGATTTTAGTTGCGAGAATAGTCGTATGCCACCGCGTGTTAGAGAAGGTTAGATTCAACAGGAAGGCACTGCTTCGTCGTAATGCTGAAAGTCGATGATCTCTGGAGCAGCCTCTAACGACAATACTGGATGTAAAACTTTCAATATCTATTACAAGTATGTTGGAACGTGATGATGATTCTAGCGCGCACGCACGCACTGCCACTAAGAAAAAGGACTATATTATACCATCGCTGCTGTTTATTGTAGAAAGTCTGACGAGAAAGAACGACAGTGACCAACTGGATAACATATATAAATAGCTTACCGGACCGCTTCTAAAGCGCATTGCATAAAGATGCGCTATCTCCCGTGTGTCTGTTAGGTTGCAAAATATTACATCACTTTATAACAAAAATGACCTCTGACCTGGCGGATTCTGTGAATTATATAGGAGCATTTCTCCCAACGAATTATTTAAAGCAAAAGAAAGATCTGGGTAACGTGTTGACCGGTGAGCATTTAATTGATTCGTCAATTGTTCCCGCGGCGGGTAACGTGACACAGCTTATAAAGCGCCCGCTCGTTGACTGCAGTTGGATCATCAGTCCTTAATAAACGCCCTATATTAGCATCTGCACTGATCTTCAAGAATCCAAGTGATTCGATAGAATAGGCCTCCCTTAAAAGACAAATGATGAAAAAAACCCAGAAGATAATTTGTCACCTGTTCGCTTCGATTAGTCGTAAGATATTCACCCCCTTCCCGTCGTAATGATGACATTACAGAAACCTATTAGGCCTAAGTATATGACTCAATGATTGAGGTCGAATGGTTGCTCGTTCAGACGTTGAGGATCATCTAGGAGAGCTGTACCTAGGGCCGAATAAATTTGTCATATAGAAGTCAGGCAAGGAATATCGGTTTCAATCATACGTCGAAATGCAAAATTTATGGCGTAAATAAGAGCTTCCTCATTCACTTCATTATAATAGAACATTATAAAAGATTTCATTTGTTAGAGCACAAAAGGAGAATAAGAAAATATAATAAAAACTCTCAAACACGTTTCAGACACTGTCAAGAGAGTCCTGGTGCTGTCAGAGTGTATAGCTAAATACTATACTAACCTCAGCAGGTAGTAAAGTGTGTAACCTATCTACCATGTAATTATAATAGCTTTGATTTGTTTTTACAATATAATAACGAGCTACACTTGGGCATTTAATGAGCATACGCCATATTTTTTAACACCGTAATACGATTTTTTACATACGACATAAGCACTGCTTAAAAATGCAATTAGAAGCCAAATAACATATTTGGCGCTTGCTATAATAAAATGTATAGGTTTTCCCAAGACATCCTTGCAAGCTTACATATATACTTTTCTTTTATATAGCCGTTATAACTGTGCAGCGATGATCATCGTTTTGTGGATCCTTTTTGTGTCATTGCTTGAAACTAGGCTTTAAAGGCTACTTAATCAGGCCGTAAATTTGCTGCTATTGTTCGAATCCCGTATTCATAAGGGATTTGTTTTAAAAGAAAATTATATACTAGAATATCTAAGAGTGAACATTCTCAAAAGAGCTCATACTGAATCATGCTGGAGTACTAACTCTATTTAACGTCTTTAACGTTTCCATATTACTAGCAATCTTCCAGACCACAACATAAAGTCAATATCATGATTGTCTAGCAGTTCCTGATACTAAAGAGGGAACCCTATATGAAGAAGCTGCACGTAGATATGGCAAACTACACATGTACATATTTTGCAGGACTGTGTTGGTAACTTCAGTCGACAAAAACGACGACAATTATTCAATTTAACTGTCCGAGTACGCGGAGCTCGGTAACGTCTACTGCAGTCATAATAATAACCGTGCTAAATTATCGACACGCAAACATCATTGTGCCTGATCTTCACAAAAGGAATCAAGAACGCGTATACTGTCCCTGCCGTTTACTCAAAATCTTTCATACACCCCTTTAGCTTCTGTGCTCATCGACAGCTTGCACTCGCATTTCATTAGCTGATTAATGAGAAAAACAACACATTGACCGTGCGTTATGTCCTTTGCAACGGCCGTAGTAAAAGTGATTTAATAATGCTGTCAGTGATATATGCTCCGGCAGCACAAATAATAGCGTTAGAGCATATATAAAAAGATGAAGATGAAGAAATATAATGGCGGTGGCCATCCAACCTTTTCCGAGGACATCTGGCCTAATCTACTAAAGCATATTCTGTGCCCATTGGAACTCCTACTCTCACATCCCTGATCTGCCGACGAGGCTCGCTAAGCGTCTAGCTGCTGTGTCTTTGCTGGTAGCAGTCGGCCGCTGCTTATCTGCCGCCATTGTCCGTTCACTGCCAGCATGTTTGCGGTGAAGCTTCAGCGTAACTTTCTCTTTCGTGCGTACGTATTCAGATGGTCACACACACATCGATTTACACATTCACTCCCTGCAGCAGGAGCAGCCGCTGTCCGTCTGTGGTACGGCCAATGACGAGCATCTTGACAGACAGATAGACGGGCAGGCCCAAGGGAGCAAGCAGCTCACTGCTTAAACGCGATGCGCGATCGGTGCAGAGCAGAAGAGCTACGAGGGGTCGCCCCAGTCCAGCGAAACTCCGTCGTCTTCGTCGACAATCGCTGCGACGTTTGGTGCTTGTTCAGCGTTGTTCAAGCAGCGTTAGACCGTGTTCGCTACTGCGGCCGCGAGGCCGCAGGGTTCCAGCTGCAAGCACAACCGAGGGAGGATCGATTGGCCCCTTCTCCTTTCACTCCGCAGCTTCTTTTGGGCAGAATGCCAACCCTCTTTTGGATCGGGTCGTTGGACGACAGCTGCTCTGAGGTGCGGAGAGAAGGATCGAAGCCGCGGGGAGTGACAGTATGTGCGAACGAACATGTAAAGAAGCCTATCTTCCCCGTGGTGTGTCGGAACTAGACGCAGTGAAAGCGACGCTCCGGTATTCGGGCACCTCGATGGTAGCGGCGGCCGCAGCGGTGGCGCGAGCGAAAAAGGCACAGAAGCACGTTGCACCACATCGGGGCTACAGCACACGCCGTTAGGCAACGCAGCGCGCGGCCACAACGCCTTTTTACACGCGCAGCTAACCGGGCAGTGATTCTGACGAGAAGAGACGACAAGAACATCTTGGAATCACAACCGCTGCAGGCAAAGACATAAACTAAACACTTAAAGGCATATATGCACGAGTGATAAGTACTTTGCGCGTAGTGGTGATATCAGCGTATCTCGATATCGTTGTGCTCCTATCACAGAGGAAACTGTTGGAAAAATAGTGCGAAAGCTTGCGGACTTCCTAGCAATAAGCTCCTTGAAGGTGTACGCGATAGTACGAGGTACAGGATTGTGCAGGGACGTACCAAGCACACGATAACGCTCTTTGGGTAATTTGTGTCTTTCTAGTAACGGCTGTGTGTATCACGAGTTTTCGTGCGCTGTGTATTGCGATTAGTACCTGAAGTGCCGCTGGACATAAGGAAAAAAAAAACATTTTACTTAGTTATTCGTTGATTTCAGTTTCCTTAACCTACGAAGACCTTTTCAACACTTTGATAGCCGTGTGCCGTTCGACCTTAATTAGATTGAGGATTCACAGATTGACCCGTTAATTTTGGTAAGTTAGCATTAAGACATAACGCTAAGACAAAGTAGAGAACGCATTCACTATGCATATATTCATATATACATATATAATATATACATATATATCTTCCTTACTAAATTGGCAGTTATGGAAAGTAAAGAACTTGGCAATATCAGCGCGGGCTTGGTATCCGTGTAACTTTCCGCATAAACTTACTGAGTCCTTAAGGACAGTAAAAGTCCTGTAAATATGCTTGACCGATATAAGCAGCATGAGGCAGACCTCTACGAGTTTTATTTAAATTGGACTCAATTTTACCGCGGTGAGTAAGGTCAAACATTTTAAGCCAACATAAAGTTGAAGATGCTTCAATTAAGGTGTCCCTCTTGGTTGCCCGTGTTAAAACTATTAAGTCGTACCTCTGCGGCCGACCATTGACAAAACAGTTGGCGGGTATACGTACGATTGAGTAAAAAAATGCCTTGCGATAATTGGTCCTGTAGAAACCTTCATTTTAAATTTCGAATTACGCGATATTTGGAGGTAATCAGATTTCTGGTTAAGCAATCGTTTTGTAAGATATGTCCTTCGCTGCATTTTATATATATATACTTTACAATCCTTCCCCTTTAGAGAGAATGGATAGGTTGCTGTTCAAATATAACTAATTACTAAATAAACTACCTTGTCCAACTCATGATATTTATTTACATAACAGTAACCTCCTTTCCAATCAATTTTTTTTCAACATAGAAATTAAGCTGAAGGAACATAAAATTGATTTAGGATGACCCTTAACCGTTAACTGTTGTGCGCTTACTTATTGAATTACAAAAAATGCTTAGTTAACTCAAACTTAAGAAAACAAATGAATTCTCGGTTTTTTTTTTTTAATATTTGCCACTATTTACATGTTTCATGTGCCTTAATAAAAGTTCGGCCATATCAACTTTAACCAGGAAGTTGTATTCACTAAAGAATTATCAAACGTCAGCAATCGTTAGACCAAGATAGCGAGTGAGTGCACTTACGGGTGTTGAGATCCGCCAGCGTATTCAAACAAAATAACACGCAAATAATCCTGGACTATTTTCCTTTTTATTGTACTGAATCCCTTGCATTCATGCTCTACGCTAGATAAGTTCGTCTCGAAAGCACCCGTTACGCGTCCTTCTTGGTATGGAGACATTACGCATACATTATGCACAGCAGCCTGACCCGATCGTTGACCCGACAAGCAAAACGTTTGTTTAATGCCGTCAAAGTTACGCGAGCGATATTAGCGGGCCTAGATTTTATTGATTATTAAGTCAAGTTCGAAAGATAAAGAATGGATGGTATTATCTGTGCTTCTTCGGAGTGTGAGGAGTCTCAGACTATGGCCATGGAAGACAGGTGGGATCTGTTGAACGCGCATCGCTCTATATAGACCTCGATGTTGACACAAACGTGGACGACATAGGCAGTTCATTCTTTTGTCGAGAGTGTTAAATGTTTATACACAATCTTTATTGTCGTTGTTTAGTATTCACTACGTATTTTTATTATGTTTTATTTAACATCGCGAGAACTGCTAATGTATGTCATTTGTAATTTCTTAAAAGTTTATTGTACTAACTTCTATAGTTCTAAAGACAATTGCCAAAAGTTGTTGTGTTGTAGTTCTTAGTCATTACTTCTTTCACTACGATGAAAGTTTACGGTCAACGCTGGTACAATACATTGTTGTCCTTAAGGACATGGCATTTCTGTTGTGTAAATTAGGCGTACCGATGGATTGAAGTACTGCAATTGTCCGATACAAAAACGCACAGTTTATGACTGGCCATAGCGAGCAGTATCCGACCCAGTGCGTCGCCATTAAACTGGGTAATCATAAATAAACCGCTACGCCATATATACCTGAAGCTTTTTTATGGCTCAAGCGTCCGTGGTATCTTCTCTAATCACGGTGGGTTAGATGGCCAACAACAGTAGCTCGTATCGCCAGAAGATATAAACCCGATTATCTCGTAGGAATGACAAAACATTAGTTGTTAGGTATGAAGAGACTTATGCGCCACACAGCGTCGAGTTTGTTGCTGTTGTTGCTGTCGATCGATTCGAACCTATCATAATAAGCATTGGACAACTTGACAGTCAGGCCAACTTGAATATTTCTACCATTAGTCTATGAAAACACCTAGTATGTTTCGCAGGTTCTGTCCATTTGTATGCGAACTTCAACCTACGTATTAAAGGATATACATCACTCTCTAACAGCTGAGTCTATCGTCATCACGATAATATGCGACTAATCAGATTTACCTAGATTTCATCTCTGTCTGTCATCTGTCAGTAAAAATGTATTTCCTTAGGTAACGATGATTCCAGTTGCATATTCTAGCTTGCTTTGTGACAGCAGTGAGGTATACCTCTGCTTTTGTCTGCTTACCGGGTCTGTGTGTTTGTATGGGTGTTATAAGATTAGCATAATGTGATGGTGCAATTGGAACTTTGCGCGCTAACTACTACTTTTTCGCAATTAGTAACAACTGTTCAGGCAAGCCTTGTCTCGTCAGATGCCAAACGCCCCAACTTAGCTTGTCTGTCTGTCTGTCCGTCCATTTCTCGTGTTGCAGGACCCGTTCCGGTGATATTTTATCTTGTTACGCGACGTCGATCGCACCGCTTTCGTGCGGCTGATGCCCACTTCTGCTTTTACTGTAGCTAATGCTGCCACTGCCAGTCTGGCCGTCGCTGCCACTGGTGTAGTTTTGCGATATTCGACCTTTTTCGTTACGTTTTTCAAACACCACCGGCAGCGGCATTACATATATTGGCCTTAGATGTCGGAATTAGGCGACTCGGGTAAGGGAGAGTTACATACGTACCAAGTCAGCTCATGTGGTTCGCAGAGTCGTCTGCCGCCGCCGCCGCCGCTCAGCTGTCCGACCTTCCGTCAGCGTCTTACTTTGCTACCATCGCCGAAGCAATTGCCGTTGTCATTCCCTGCGAGTAAGTAGGCCACTGCCGCAGTGAATCGTTAAGCTTCCGAATGACATCAGACAACGCGTCTAATGCTAAGGCAGAAACAAGCAGCAGCAGTGGTACGTTAAGAACGCTCTAACCAATGCACGTGAGCCTATTTAGCCAGGTCCTACCATTGGTGCTATTGTTGTTGTTATTATCATAATTATAGTGACGTATCGGGCATAACAACAGCGATGGTAACGTGCGTACTTGTCTGTGACGCGCATTGTCGAATTGTGTTTCGGTGATGTTGACGCCTCGCCTGCGCGTTTACCATCAGGCTGCTTGTTTGTCAACCTATCAGCATATAGCGTCGTCAGTCACCACATGGCGTATATAACTATCATGGTGAAGAATTGGACGATAACTATTTTCAAAACCTTGCGTCGTGTTCGTGGCGTGATGCCCCCCATTTATAGCGGATGCATAGCACATAGTATTTAATTCACAGGTATTCTCTCAGCATATAAGCTCTAAACGTGGCCGCATCATGTGAACTTACTAAAGATAACAACGAACTTTCCTGCCAACTGATCGTACATGTCGGGGATGAAAAACAACTGTTGATGATGCGTGACGCCGAAAGAGGTCATGTCTTTTCTCTTAACGGTACAATGCACACCCCGCCGACTGTGGAAGCCTATTCTTTAATACGTACATAAACTTCGTTAGACGAAATATCGTTTTGAAGTGGGTGTGCCGTATAGACCATTAAGAGGGTCTGACCGTATCGGCGATGCTTCAACAATATAATTAAGCCATGTAAGATCGACGATGGCTCCTGTAATGGCAAACAACTTTGCACACAACGAATCGAACCATCGATATAGAATCACACACAAACGCATTAAACGATACGTGGTACCGTATCAGAAAGTGACGCGCCGATTTGTGTAATGACAACTGCGGTGCCATTCATGCCTGACGACTTGTTGGTGTCGGTGCGTTTAGTTGGACGCTGACGGGCAAACAAATCCTTCGAAATGTTTACCTATTCATACGATTAGTCTTCATTCTTCAGCGGCCGGCTGGCTGGCTGGCTGGCTGGCTAGTTTAATTGAAGTCAAATATGAAATGGCATATATTTAGAAACGCTAGTTTCGAAAAAGCAACCACAAAAAAACATTGGCGATCGGTATACCAACTAAAACATAATTACTTCGCAGTGATACAGTATTAACAGGCAAACGTTCAATATGGCTCCAAGCATTAACATTATCATATGTAATTCTTGTTTCAGCCCTTTTATCTTTTAGTATCAACAGTAGTATTATATCCCTGGGTGAGCGTGGAGTTTTGCCCCCAGTCACGTTCGTGACAGACACCTACACCGTTTTATCATCCATTCAGTTTCTCTTTTAACTTATAACCGCGCCACTAAAATGAGAGTCAATTACACCATTTTATAAAAATGTTCATGCATATTTCATCCTGGCCTACGTCGCCTGGTTCTAAAGAAGGACGGTAAAATTCGAAGTTGCTAGTGGATGGCTGAATGCTATCAGATGTTTATAGATCTGATAGTCATATGTATAGCTATCAATAGATTTCGTTCATTTTACGAAAGACAAGCTCTGCCAATACAATATAACAGGATGTTAGTCAAATCATCATTAGCGTCATGTTCACATTACCCCTGAACTTGACGAGCCTTCGCATTGAGCATCTGTTACCTAATAATTATGCAACGATCTGATGCCGCCAGAGATCTGCTGAATTCTATATGGCTATAGTTTATTAGTGACGTATCAGGAACACGTAACGCAGTGCTCCCGCAAATAATATTTTAATGAATAATGAAGCTCAATGTTTTTGGAAGGTGGAAGAACGGCCACATTTTGTTTTTCGAGGATTAGACGACAGCTAACGACGAACTAACTTCCGCCCAAAATGCTTAATAAATTTGCATAAGGAGCATGGAACAGTGGGATTAAACCATAGCGTTTCTTTGCATCCCAAGCGAACTAACCTGAGCAATTGAAACAAAGTTAAGAACTTATTCAAGTGCTAGCTTTAAT